GATGATTGTCAACATTATTTTCCAGTTAATGCATAATGGCTGTGTTGCTTATGGTTGAAATGGCTAGAAAGACTTTGCCATTGTATGCTTGTACTTAGTTTTTGTCGTGTTGCGTTTGTTTTAAATGTGGTAAACTATAGATTTGTTTTTTGTTGACTTTGTACCGCGCTTCGAGCCTTTGGGGATGAAGCGTGTTTTTGAAATGAACTTTATTATTTTATTATTTATTATTTTCTGAGATTATCTTTATACTGTTGTCTGAGGTTATGTTTTTGGTAATTTTCTGAGAACATTTTAAAGGTAAGAAATGAAATTTGCGAACAATTATATTGCGATATTTAGCTTCAACTAGCTTTAAAATATTCGTTTAGTAAAATATTATCGTGCGCTTCTGCTTCATCTGTGGTATGATGAGCTAAACTTTGATGGTAACCACGTTAGTTTTTAAAATGTCTGATTTTTAGAAAGATTTTTAATGTTGTTTTTCCTTCATTTGAATACAATTTCATTATTTGCCCCGTCTCCTTCAACATCAATCCCCATGGTCCGACTCTTTACAAAAGTATTATTCGCCTTTTATGTTTTGTCAATCTCTTTTATAAAAACAAAAACATTTAGAAAAATCTTTTAGCACATTCCCGAGCAACAGATTTTAACAAAGAAATTACATCATAATTCTCATATTTTCTGTTTTAAGTCTCAAGATTATTAGACGGATGCAAACTGCTAGACAGACAGTAGTCTTAAAAAAAATTAAAAGAAAAAGGAATATTTTCCTTTGCTAAATCCAATTTAATTTTACTAAAATTTTTAACATTTGTAACCACTCGTTCGATTTGTAATCCATACTTGTTTTAAAAATGTTCATTATTTATACCTTATCCATTGGGAAAGACATTTTTTCATATTAAATGATGTTGTGTGCTTTAGTCTTTTCTTTAAAAAAAATTCATGTAAAAGTATACTACCAGAAATACATAGGTATTTTGTACAAATAATTTCCTCAACAAATCGACGCGGCGTAGCCCCCCCCCCCCACACACACATCTTTACCGGGCAAGGCTAGAGCAGCTGCAGCACGCATTTGAGATAATCATATTTACTTTCTGACAAATGGCTAATTAGAATGTCTTGGTATAGTTCACTCTGACCTCCTGAGTAGGCTTACCTTAGCTGCCGTTGTTGAAAGAAACGGGTGGGGTGTTGGGGTGGGGGTGGGAGAGGCATACAAAAAAAAAAGTTGTAGGTCAAATAGGACATCGGACTTCTTTCATATTGAGTCACAACAAAAAAATATCCACCACCCCCACCCCATCCCCAATGATTAAAAAACAAAAAAAAAAACAAATAAAGTCCGTTTATGTTTTTATCTTTGTCACAAATTAAGTTCACAAACTGAATATTGACGCCAATTAAGTTCACCAAACTGAATATTGACGCCAATTAAGTTCACAAAAACTGAATATTGACGCCAATTAAGTTCACAAAAACTGAATATTGACGCCAATTAAGTTCACCAAACTGAATATTGACGCCAATTAAGTTCACCAAACTGAATATTGTCACAAATTAAGCTCACCAAACTGAATATTGTCACAAATTAAGTTCACAAAAACTAAATATTGACGCCAATTAAGTTCACCAAACTGAATATTGACGCCAATTAAGTTCACCAAACTGAATATTGACGCCAATTAAGTTCACAAAAACTAAATATTGACGCCAATTAAGTTCACAAAAACTGAATATTGACGCCAATTAAGTTCACAAAAACTGAATATTGACGCCAATTAAGTTCACCAAACTGAATATTGACGCCAATTAAGTTCACCAAACTGAATATTGTCACAAATTAAGCTCACCAAACTGAATATTGTCACAAATTAAGTTCACAAAAACTAAATATTGACGCCAATTAAGTTCACCAAACTGAATATTTCACAAATTAAGCTCACCAAACTGAATATTGTCACAAATATTAAGTTAATCAAACTGAATATTGTCACACATTAATTTTTAAAACTATACTTTGTCATAAATTATGTTCACCAAACTGAATATTGCTGAACGGATTTAATCTTGTATGGTGTAAATCAGCGTTTCCCAAACTTTTAAGTTTCACGGACCGGTGGACACGTTTCGAAACTGCACCAGGGACCGGTGCCAGATTTATTAATTACTTTTCTTTTGTATTTAAACATCAATATTCATGCTCTATGGACCGGTAACGTAAGGCTTCCGGACCGGTGCCGGTTTACGGACCACCGTTTGGGGAACGCTGGTGTAAATGACATGTTCGGTTTAAAGTCAATACTGCCATAACTATATTAAATGCATTTTAAATGGAATCTTTACGAAATATAACAAAATGTTACTTATTTATATATAATATTCAAATTTTCAAAAAACAGTTGCTTGACGAAATGGCCTAACAGAGGAAGAAAATAATCCCATAGACTTGCAATAAATACAGCTTTCAAGATAGATACTCTTTCGATCTTTGTCTAATTAGGTGGAGATTTTCAGGAAGGTCCTATCAAAAAGAGATAAACTTTAGATTTACTTTTGGAGATAAATGTTTTTAGTTCTAAATGTGAGAGTTTTTTTGTTTTTTTCTTAAATTAAGATTTTCCTGTTGCCTACTGAAGATAGCGTTTGGCCGATACGCTATTTGATTTTGATTTTCCAATCTTGCTTTCCTTGTTCTCCGTGTCTTGATTTCAATAATCCGTTGTCAAAGTCTGCGCCTTGGATGTGGTCGGCTTTAGGAATTTAGGTCTCACAATATTTCCTTGAGATTAATTCAGGGCGAAAACAATTTCTACAAAAAAAAAAAAATCGCCCTACAAAGTCAGTACAGTTGTAGTTGATGTCAATGTCTCGGGGGGGGGGGGGGGGGGGGGG